TCAGGTCCCTTCCAACCCTAGAAACTATGAAACTATGGATGCAGGGAGGGGTCCAGAGCCTCATGAGAGGCTGGGAATGTGGGACTGGTGGGTCTAGAACCTAATGAGGGGCTGAGAGTGTGAGACTAACGACGGTCCAGGAACCCCAGAAGGGAGTTAAAGTAAAGGAAAACATCTGAGAAGGATACCATCTGAGAGGCATGGGGCAAGGGAGGAATGAAGCCATGCAATTAGCCCACAAGGCAGTGGACCATATGCACCTGGTGGTCAGGTTTGAAAGCAATTTGGGAAGCCCAGAGGCAGCCTCTCTCATAAAAGTTATTAAAATCAAGGTGTGGCAGGTGAACGAAGGGGTAACTGCCCACACATTGAGGGCTGCAGGGACTCCAGGGGCTTCACAGCCATGCTGGAGAGGCACCCTGCCACACCCAGCAAAAATGTCCTAATTATGCACAAAAGTTTTGACTGGGTAATTATGACAGGGCATAAAACAAAATCTTTATGTCATGCTTTAATCCTGGATATTCCACTCTGCTACACACTTTTTTTTAATCACTTGGCATCAAGAAACTGGAAGATGGAAAAGTAGGAATGGAATACAGTTGTGCCATTTTTTAACTCTAAATACTTATTCATCATATGAAGCATGCAAGAGGTTTTCTGAAACATAAACAGTATCTGAGGTGAACAATATGCAGTGACTGAAAGAAATGGCCAAAAAAGCATATGTTCATATTCAAATTTGAGGTTTAAAATTTGGATATGAAAAATATTATTATATGGAATTTAATACCTACCTGTCATCTCCCTTTCACCACAAAATATTATGCTAAGAAAATATGTTCTTTGTGGGCCTAGAGCCACCATTGCTTTCCCAATATTCAGCCCCTTTATAGCTGACTAAATCTAAAACAAAAGGCGCAATTTAAAAAAATGTAAAGGTTTTCCATTATAATCATTCCTCAGGTTATGATCCTAACTCTGTCCTTACTCATCATTTGGATCTTGATCTAAAATACCG